ACGGCAAGGCTGGGATGGTCAATTTGGTAAAGTAAATCCGTTGGGCATCTTTCTTTGCCTTTAGACAACAATTCTGATGGCAAAAGAGCCAAACGGGACAGGCAAAAAAAAAAAAAAAAAAAAGGTTGGTAGTTTGATCCATGGCTCCCCTTAAACTGTGTGTCATAGATCATGAGTCCTAAATTACCTCCTTATCCGCCAAGGCTTGAAGTATAAGAGGCAATCTGCTCAAAATGAGTAGAAGGGCACATACATACACTTATATTATTTTCTTAAGGATTAATAAAGTATTCTGATTCTGATGCATACATACACCAGTCCATGCACAACAAAGTCAAGTTCCCTGTTGCATCCAAGGGATTAATGTCAAATTACTTCTTAAAGTTACTTTCATCTAGGTGCAAGATTTTAATGCTCCCAAAAATTGTCTAAAAGCTGATTTTGAATAATGCACAACCTCCAGCTGCTGGTGATCAGTACGTAGCATCATTTGATCATAATATGTCCTAATACTTTTTTCTTAAAGAAATAACAGGAATCGTGTACCACGTGTTTTAACAAGTTGATCTTTAAAATATATTTTGTCATTTCTGTCTTTTGCAGGTGTTTTAACAAACCCAGACATCCTAGTTCCCAGCCTTGTTTTTTTCCTGTTAGTAATTTTCTGTAATTTCATTGTTCATATTGTTTCTGTAAAATCTATACATTTCCACTGTTGTATGTATGACCTAGTTTTTACTTTTGAAATGTTAAAATCTAGAAAAATAGTACATAAAAGATAAAACTTTTTGATGCCTCAGTCAGAGGATTTTCATTAAGGCATGTTATAGCAAAAAATGTTGAAATTTGGCAGATGAAATGCCCGATGGGCAGGTAAGCAAACTATTACTGCATACCCAATCATATATTGCCAACCACATTCAGTGCATGTGATTACTACTGCTTTTGCACAGCAGTGATAATCAAAGGATCGCTGTTTTTCTCATTTTGTTTCAGATGTGGACTGAAGTATGGAAGGATCTCACTACCAAACGAACACTCAGTTAATGAGTAGATGTGAGACTGAGACGTCACATCGTAAAAGGACACGAGACCTTCCTCATAATCTACAAACACCCCGACTTTCCGAGATTTCTCTTTAACCGAAAGGCTCACAGGTGGTGTTGTCAGGGCTGCATATTTCCGGTCTTCATAATGTACAATAACCCAGCAACCGTTGTCAGGTTTGCGTCACGTCTCGCCAGATCCAGATCCCACCCGGTCTTTTTGCTGACCTCCACCTCCCAGTATGCCCTGCCAGAGGACAGCCTGTTGAGCCCCAGGACACTTCCAAACATATTAAACCTTTGCAGAGAATCAGGATCTTTTGACATCTTTCCACCATCTCTCACTTTTTTCCCAATTATCAGAAATTTCAAGGCTTTGATGTGCGGTATCACATAAACATTCACAGCAATGACAACAATCTCTTGAACTGAAGCTTCTCCAGGTTTGCTCAACAACAAAAAAAAAATGCTGGCACCATGAACATGCGGGCTGATCTGTGCGAGGGAGGAGGACGGTAGTGACGTGGCATTTTCAAATCATATCGTTTTATCCTTCTGCACTGAGAAGCAAAATTTCTGACTTGCTTACTTTTTATAAGTTAAGACAACTCAAATAAACTGAGTTGATCAGCTTTTGAATGAAAAGTGCTATAACTTACTTAAACTGAGTTCTAATAACAAGTTGATAAAAACTGGGTTCAGTCTACTTAATATTTTGAATAAAACAAAATATTAGATTTTACAGTGAGGTATCTGGCAACTGTCTCACAGAGAAGCAACACATATTTCAATGATGATTAAAAAAAACGTACCGACTTTGAATATTTTTACAGAATATTTTTAAACCATCTAGGCAGTGCCTCACACAGGAAACCAGGCAAACTCACTCAGCATGCAATGCTTGTCTTTACAGGAAACAAAAAGCAACAACATCCTCTTTTCTTCCCACGAGATAGGGCGGATGAAGCGGTAATACTAGTATTGTGTAATACAGTAAGTATTGTGTGTACATGACAGCTCGTTATAAGATTTGATTCTTTAATAATTCCTCTTCAAGAACCGTTTCATGCTTTGAGTTTTACAGATAGAATATTAGAAAGGTGAGGGGAGTAA